GGGCGGGCGCTGCGCGGCACATGCGCCGCCCGCCGCGGGGCCGGGGGCTGCGGGGCCGGGGGGATGATCGGGGTCAGCCCCAGGGATGCTCCGCGAGCCGCTGCCGGGAGGACGCGCAGGGATGGCGGAGCGGAGGGCAAGGGGCAGCCCCGGTGGTCCTCGGGGATGCTGATGGGGGGAAGGGGGTCGGGGAGCAGCACCGTGTGCCCCAGGACTACAGCGGAGGGAGACCCGAGGGATGCCTGGAGATGTGGCACTGGTGGGGGCAGCATCGGGGTTTGCTCCCGTGGCGGAGTAGGAACCCCCAGGGATTATCTTGGGGTGCTGGGTGAGGAGCAGGAGAGCCCCAGGGAGTATGTGAAGACACTGCACTTGGAGATGCCACAGGATGTCCGGGGGCATTCCCAGACCTCTGGAGGCACCAGGGGGATGCTGCCTCTCCCCAAAGGGTGTTTGACCCCCATTGCCTTCCTGACCCTCCAAGATGTGCTGGAGGGCAAAGTCCCTCCGCAGTAGTTACACGACAGCTCTGAAATGTGTCCGTGCACTCGATTATCAGGGAGCCATGGGAAATGCATGGCCTGCCAGCAGACAAACCCTTCCCACAGACATCCCGAGGTCCCAGCCCCAGCATCCCGGGATCTGGGGCTGCCAGGCTGAGCCCTGACAAACCTTCCTACCCCTCACAGTGCAGTGACGCTCAGCTGGGCAAGGGTTTCAGCCTGAGCCACCTATTCCCCCTCCTGCCAGAAAAGTAGTCTTGATCCCATGCTGATGGTGCCCACACTGCTCTGGACGGTGTTGGTCAAGAGCCACCCATAAGGAAACAATTATGGCTCAGCACTCCAGCAGCCGGCTGGAATTTCTCTCCATAAACCCAGTCCCTCAGTGTGGAAAGAGGCTGCTCAGCAGCAATGAGCTCTGCAGGAGTGAGGCAGAGCCCACCCTGATAACGACCCAGGGGTCCATCAACAGGTACCCCCCAGCACCCTGTGACACCGGCTGGCTCCAGAAGTCACTGCTCACACATCCTCGAGGGCTGGCTGTTAAAATTAACCCACCGTGACTGGATCTGGAAAGCCCTTCCCCGGGAATGACAGGAATGTCTTTATCCTGGCCAAAGCAGCGCCGGTATGGGGCTGTTTGGGGAACCCACTGCCAGAGACAGTCTTCCCTGTAAACAGGCCAGAAGCCATAAAAACTCCACAAATTCCTCCAGATCCCCTTTTCCTGGGATCAAGTGAGGGCCTGAAACATGCAGGGGATGCAATGGTGTCTCCCCAAATTGCAGGAGCCTGGCACGTGCCGGGGTCCCTCGGTGCCACAGGACAGGATGAAGGCAACACCAGCAGCTGCTCAGGGCCAGGAAAATGCCTGTCACTGTGCTGCGGTTTCGTGACCGTGGCCTGGAAGAATTTCAGTGGCGTTTTTTTCCTGCTGGGAAGAAGAGCAGGCGGAGAAGTTCTGCTTGCTGGCAAGCCAACGTGGCAGGGCTGGGCCAGCCCAGGGCACAGGGTCAAGCAAGACGCTCCATGCCATCCCCTGCCCTTGCTGTGTTTTTGGTTCCACTTGGAACAAAACTATAATGGGAAGCCCAGCAACAAGGAATGGGCTGTTCTGCATTGCTTGTTTATTTTATCATGGGGAGCTTAATGAAGGAATGGAGCTTAAACAAGGAATGGAGTCTGGGGTTAGGTCCACTGCTCCCCATGTCCCCTGGTGCCGGCTGGGAGTAGAAGCTGTGCAGTTATCCCTGCCAAGAGCCGGGGACTCAGAGAGGACGTGTGAATGCAGGGAGGGGGCCAAGTGTCAGGCACAGGAGTGTCTCCCCAAGTGAGATGCCACCTCCAGCAGGGCCTCGGAACCAGAGGGTGGAAGTCAGGGTGGTGAGAGGTGGCTGGCGGCCCCGTGTGCTTGTTTTCCAGGGCGGAAGGCCAGGGGTTGCTCCCGTCTTCCCTTCCCCTCCTCCGGTGCTGCTGGCAGCAGGCTGGGCGCTCAGCTGACAGTCACGGGGAAGGCATTAGCAAAGCAAAGGGGAGTTCCCTTGCCCCATTGCAAGAGAAGACAAGGTGCTTTACCCCGGCCCTCTCCTCGGGCAACCCTTCCTCATGTCCCCCCAGCACCCACCAGGAAAAGCTGGGCACAGCCTGAGGGTCCCCCCTCATCCATACACACAGAGGGGGCAGCCCTGTGTTGAGTGCCTGCCCATCTCCATTAAACCCACCAGATCCTCCGGTGGCCAGCAACCGGTGTGCCTGTTCCCTGGTCTGTGCCCCTGGTCCCTGCCCCAGCAACTGTGCACACCCACGGGGCCAGGGGTGCTCAGAGCACCACCCGCCGGTCCAGCTGCTCTGCCCGCCCGGCTCGCTGGTGTCTTGCTTCCAGGTGCTTGTTTTGGACCTTCTCAAAGTGCTGCAGCAGCTCCGTGTAGTCGATGTTGGAGGCTGCTGATCTCTTGAAGCTGGTGCTGGGCTTGGTGTTGTCCCTGCAGGGTGGGAAAAGAGAGGGTGGGAAGGGGATGGGGATGTTTGGTGTTGTGAGCATCCAGCACTGGCAGCACCAAAACCTTGTCCTGAAGAAGCTGAGCTCAGCAAATCCTAGTCATGCTGGTGCCTCATAAAATACCCCCAAAGACATATTTTCTTCCTTTAAGGGTGTGAGATAGAGCCCAAGAGGTCCTGGGACAAGGAAGGGACAAGGGACATCTGCATCTTGCCCCCACATGGGAGGTTTAATTCCTCTGACACATACTCCTCTCTATCCCAACCCACTGCAGTCAAAAGCAGTGAGGTAAGGATGCCAGGGCCATACGCCTCAGTTTCCATGTCTGCTTCTTTGAGCGAGCAAAAAACATCCAGTGGCAGCAGTGACACTCCTCAGGGATGAGCACCCATGGCTGGAGCTCCAAATGCAGGCTCCCTAGGGCTCCAGCCATGGATACTCAACCCTGTGCTGTCCCTATGCCAGGAAGGAGCTGACACCAGCCATAGGATGCCCATGGGAAGATGGCAGGCAGCTCTGGTGGCCCTGGTATGTCCCTGGGGAGGGGGCAGCTGGGACTGGCCGGTTATGAAAGCCGGCTTCGGTGTTTGAAGGAATGTAGGTCAGAGTTAATCAGATGCTCAGGCTGTCTGACAGCTCGAAAAACCCCCACTGCCAGGGTTAGTGGGGAGAAAAAAGGAGGGGGAAGCACATGCAGCCCCCTCTCTGCCCCCCCAATTAAATATCAGTGCTGGGTTGTGGGTAGGAGCTCAGTGCCGGAGGCCATGAGGGATAAAAGCCATCCCAGGGAAGCAGTTAAAAGCCAAGGAGCGACAACAGCAGCAGGGGGTTAATTCAGAAACCTGCCCATCTTGGGAGCTCTTTTTGTTCCCAGGGCTGCGCGAAGGCACAGCCAGCTTTATCATCAAGCCTCCCCACTACTCATTAGCCAAGGGTTGGAAAGCAAATCCCACTGGCAGCACCCCTGGGCAGGGAGCACGAGGATCTCAGCTGGTCCCCAGGGAGATGCTGTCGTTGCACATCTCACGGATCCCCGAAGGCCAGGAGTGGGAATGGAGCAGCCATCCAGAGGCACTAGCAGGGTGCCAGGATCTTTTTGGGTGCTGTGAAGGCTGTCCAGGCTGCAGGGGGGATGCTTTGGGAGCAGCCCCCCCAGCTGCTGGAGTCTTTCTCCATAAACCTCCTTCCCAGCTCTGCTCGTTTCCATAGCGACCCCACAAGTGAAATTTTCCATCCCGGATGCCAAATGCTTGTGGATGAGGCACAGCCCTCCCAGGGTTACCAAATATAGACACAAAAAACCCCCCTGGCCAACACTCCCGGCCATGGGGACAAGGAGCAGCCACGGCTGCAACGGAGCTGGGGGGTGAAAGCCAGAGCATGGGGCTGAGCCCAGGATTGGGGCTGAGCCTGGAATGGCAGGGATGCTCAGCTGTGGGGAACAGCTGATCCAGCCCCGATGCTGAGGCTGGTCCATCCCCCCAGCACTTACGTGGTCTGCATGAGCTCTGGGTTGGGCACGCACTGGAGGCGATGGGAGAGGAGCTGGAAGGCGCTGCTCTGGGGCAGCAGCATCAGCAGGCCATAGAGAGCCTTGATCAGGTAGGGGTTGTTCTTCACATCCAGCAGCTGCAGGCGGAGATCTGGAAGAGGACAGAAGAGGATGGGAAGGCAGGGAAAATGCATTTAATTTCCAGCTGCAATAGCAGGTTCCTCCCACCCCCTCTGCTAGCCAGCCCAAGGGGTTCTTGATGGCAACCCTCTCCCTTTTCATTAACCCATCCATCTTCGTGTCCCATGGTGCCCCGAAGTTCCTCTCCTTGACACAGCTCCCTGGGGGCAACTGGCTCCCCAGTCTGCCACTCCTGATACCACTCACCTCTGAGGCTGTCCATGCTGTCTGCCTGAGAACACACATGCAACACGGGATTGCTCCTCAGCTTCTCCCGATTTAGCAGAAATACCCACCCTGGAGCATCACATCCAGAGGGCTGGGTGACACCCTCCTGGGGACTCTCTGGAGCAGAAGGAATCCCCTCCACTTGGTTAACATGAGGGTTACATGTGCTGGGCCTCAGTTCTGCTCAGCAGAGGCAAAACCACCCTCTGGCTCACGGCAGAAGTCTTCTGCAGCCCTAAATACAGCTGAAGGGGCAGCCCAGGAGATGGGGCAAGGTCTGTGTCTCAGCATCTCACCTCCTGGTTGTCACCTGTACTGCTGGTGTCTCCCAGTGAAGGGAGCCATCACCAGGGATGTCACTTTATGGGGGACACGTCTATCCCCTGAGATGTGCGGACTAAGGTGAGTGGGTTGGGGAACCACCAATGAAAAATTTTGGGGCATGCAAAACCACCAGAGACACGTGGGTGCCTCACACATTGGGACAGTCATCCTGGGAATATGGGACAGCGTCTACAGGAGGGAGCATGAATGAGGGTCTCTACTGCCCAGCTGCTCTA